ACAACTGTTTTAAAAATTGTTAATAATAAGAAATGTTTCTTGAGCAGCCAATTAAATAGAATGAATTCTGAAGGGTCACGTGACACTGTAATGGCTACTGAAAATTCAGCTTTGCCATCACAGGAATAAATTACATTTTAAAATACAATGAAATAGAAAACAGGTATTTTAAAATCGCAATATTATTTCACAGTATTACTGATTTATTGTATTTCTGATCAAATTTAGTGTACATAACTACATATTTTTGCAACATGCACTCTCATGCTGTATTAAATAACATTCAAAAACATTCTGACAACACATGAATATGGCACACAATATGTCGGACTGGCAAAACCAAAAATAAATCCACCATTCTCCTCTTGTATTCTGAGGGCAGGGGCATTAATGGCATGAGTGTAAGTCATAGACAAAGGCTGTGAAGGAAGACAAGGCCTGCTGTGTCATCGCCCTACAGAGGCAACAATGACCATGAGTCACTTGACCAATTAGCATGGAGCACTGTTCTGCCCCACCCTGGGTTCCAGAGCACAGAATAAGCCTTGTGTTTTGGAATGCTTATAGGTTCAAGAGAAGCCCTGTTCTTCTAGGTTTTAAAGTATGCAGGCCTGTACCATCATAAGCAAAACATGATGTATAGAGCATTTGGGTTTGAACAAAAGCACACATTCTCATTCTGAGCTGTTATCGGCTGATGTGCTGCTTATCAGAGCCTGCAAAAGCAGGGTATCAGCTGGAGAGGATTCAGATCCCGTATTCTCACTCTCCTCCTCCTGATTTTCATTTTAGATTGGGCAGATAGTCTCCAAGACAGGTCTGGTCACGTTCTAGACAGGATTCATTTTGTTTTAGACTAGACCAACCACATTAACACACACAAAGAAGTTAAGAGTCCAAACTCTTTATCTCTGGATCTTAGACATGTGTGTGTGTGTGTGTGTGTAACAAGGTTAGAATTACATGTTGAGCTTAATTTATGTTATTTGATGTGTTTCTTTGAATCCCTGATTAGAAAACAAATCTGCCATTTCACTGACAAAGATGAACGTCATAGATAAGGCACATGAAACACCACTTTAACCTGGACTGTGTTTTTGCATGTGCACAGCACAAGAAATGATACTCTCTGCGACCTAATTCACTCTTTTATTATACTCTATTATTATACACCAAAAGTTGGCATATTTGCATTAATTCAGCAATTCAGGCAAAACAGACAAGAATGCACACCTCACACATTTGTTTTGAACCAGGTGAGGTTGTCAGAGAGATTGCACCAAGCTCTTGCCCTTGAGCTCATTTCAGCAATTGCAAACTTGCACATAGACACATTAAGGTTATTACAGTTTTTACATTTTCAAATTTTGTTACTATTTTAAAGGGTTAGTTCGTCATCATCAATTACCTTCACAATTACCTGTCACCATGTCATTCCAAACCCAAAGACTTGTTTTATGTTTATTACTCACATGACAATATTTCTAATAAAACCTGAGAGTTCTGTCTGTCCATTAAAAGTCCATCCAACCAAATCTTAAAGAGATAAAAAAAAATAATTATTATATTCAGAACATTTTTTGAATAAACTGCTCGAATGCCGTTTTTAACTTTTTGAAGCATCAAACGTTTGATGGAACAGACTTTCAGTGGATGGACAGAAACCTCTCAGATTTCATTAAAATATCTCCATTTTTGTTTCAAGATGGAAGAAACATCTTATGGGTTTGGAACGACATGAAGTTGAGTAACTAATAACTAGTCTTATTTTCACACTTCACATTTCAGTTTAGTTTTATTTCAATAACAGCTTAGTTTTCCGATATGGATATATATTAGCCTACATATATAATAAGTATGTGTGTGTGTGTGTGTGTGTGTGTGTGTGTGTGTGTGTAATATGGATATATTTCAATTTCATTTCAGTTATAGTTGTACCAATTATAGTGAAGGAATCAGGAACTAACATTGTTGCTAAAACAAGCAAAATCAGAGGTTTTTAGTTTTCTAGTTGCTTTCATACATTTTTTTTTTTTCAGTTTACGAATATATATTTTTAAATCTTAGTATTCAATAATGAGCCTGACATAAACATAGAAATGTGTATGTAGACTGTGCACATCTGTACAGTAAACAGATCGGTTCCATCTGTATTAAACGGATATATCAAGGACATGCAGAAAAAATGGTCTCTTCCTCTTTCCTTGATTTCTCTGTTCACCAACTAACCATAAGATAAACTCCACCAACATCATGAAATCAAATGAAGACTGGTCAGGTGGTAAAAATGTTGAAATCAAAGAATGCTTCTCTCAAATGAATGTAAAATAGATGCATTAAACAAAACAACTCTGTATGTCTACTAAAACATGTAACAGCATCTCTATCTACTCTATCTCTATCTCTATCAAAGCCAAATGTTTGCTGACCGATCCATTCACCATGCCCGTTTTCAAACACACTAACAAAAAGTGATGTCCTCAAACACAATGACCTGTTACGCAACATTTCAACACATTTTAAGTCAGATGTCCATTGGTTGGTCTGTGGTAAAGACAAGCCGAAAACACTGACAATAATTCAGTACAACATCAGAGATGTTGCCACAGCGGTTGATTTAAATAAATAGCTTGTAAAAGCGGCGTGCGCATTTTACTTTCACTTTCAAATAGCGGCAATTCGGAGTAAAGCAAGTGTTAATTTTTAGTTTGTTTGAATTTTCCCTCTTTTCCTCGCTTTTAAATAGGTTAAAAGCGCCGTGCTCATTTTACGGTGGGGGTCGGTGCCGCGGTGGGCAAGTGACGTAACCGGTGTTGCGGCTTAACACCGGTATAACCGTCAGCACCGTCTATCACGGCAAGCCTACTGGAAGGGCCAAGTTTGCCCATCACTGATTTAAATGGTTGAGTTCTCATACCCAATTCCCATAACGTTCCAGTTGTTTGTGGTTACTAGATAATAAACCTACTGTTTAAACACCAATGACTGCACCTCTAATAATGACCCCTCTGTCAAGCTCCTGATGTGCTCCACACGTATCGGCCTCATCCAGGACAGTGACGAGTCTGCTTACAGACAGGAGGTTAAAGAGCTGGCTGACTGGTGCAGTTATAGTGGACCCCCCAGTCAGCATCATGAACAGCACTGTAACAAAAGTGGAGTCATTCAAGTTCCTGGGCACCACCATCTCTCAGGACCTGAAGAGTTCTACAGACTCCACTGTCAAAATGCCCAGCAGAGGCTCTATATCCTATATTCAACCTGCCACAGGAGCTGCTGAAACAGTTCTAGTCTGCAGTCACTGAATCCAACCACTGCACTTCAATAACTGTCTGGTTCAGCTCAGCTACCAAATCAGACCTTAGAACGGGGGTGTCAATCTCAATTCCTGGAGGGCCAGAGCCCTGCAGAGTTTAGATTCAACCCTAATTAAACACACCAGAACCAACTAATCAAGTCCTTCAGGCTTATTTGATAACTACATGGTATGTGTGTTGGAGAAGGGTTGGAACAAAACTCTGCAGGGCTCCGGCCCTCCAGGAATTGAGTTTGACTCCCCTGCCTTAAAAGATTGCAGCGGATAGTCTGGACTGCTGAGCAAATCACGGGTACAACCCTCCCTGCTCTCCAAGAGCTGCACTCATCCAGAGTGAGAAAAAGGGCTGGCAAAACCATTCTGGACCCCTCACAATCAGGCCACTTCTTCTTTTAACTGGTCGGCGCTACAGAGCACTGAGCACCAGAATGGCCATGCATAAGAACAGTTTCTTCCCTCAAGCAATCCATCTCATCAGCAGTTAACTTGCCAATAATCGTGTAATACACAACACTATTTAGCCTATACATTTATTTATTTAACACACCATACTTATTCACATTTCCTTGCATTTGTACATATCATACCTGTACACACAAATACCATCTGTTGTCTATTTTTGTATATTGTGTATTTTTTTAAAATATTTGTTGTACATTATTATTTCCTATTTACATATTCTATTTTTACTATCTGTGTCTTGTCACTGTAAACTGTTTGTGCTTCTGTCACCTAAACAAATTCCTCGCATGTGTAAACATACCTGGCAATAAAGCTCTTTCTGATTCTGATTCTACATAGGATAATTCAGAAAAGCCAGATGAGATCAAATCGAAATAAGAACGAGTTAAGAACGAAAACTGACAATCAATCCATCAACACATACATCTGGAAGCATGCTCACAGTTAGAATCTAGCTCTATAAGATAAATATTATCCTTGATATATTATCTCTATTTGGATAAACACTGTTATTGTATTACAAGGATGATGCGTCTAAAATCCACGTCTGTCAGTTAGCAACAGCGCGGAAAAGTCCAACCTCGCCCTGTCTCCATTTAATCCTGCCATGAATCTACAGCAGGATCCGTGTTTACACTTTAACAAAACTCCATAACCATAAACGTACTCACACAGAGACAGATGAACGAATAAGGGTCATTTCTCAAACTACTCACTCGTTTTATTCTCGCTGAAGTGGTGCGGTTCAGCCCATCTCCTGCTCGTGGCCCCGTTCACAAACTTCACGAGTGTTTTTCCTGTAGGAGCGGAAGTGGCTGTAGACGTCACTGCGTCAGGTTAATTTTTTTAAATCTGTTCTCTCATTTTCATTCTTTCATATAGGCACTTTTAAAATAGTAATATTTATATTTTTGTTCTCTTCCTTTAGTTGAATAATAAGCAGAGAAGCAGGTACGTGGCCCACTTAATAAGGCAAAGTTTCATTAGTATAAAATGACCTTTAAAAAAAAAACATTTTCGCTTAGTTACTAAAATAAAACTGGTAATTTTAATATAAAAATAGCAATAATAGGATATTATGCCCTATGATAATCAAAAATAAATTAAACAAAATGTCTGATAATATTTATTTAGTACTGTAATTTTATTTTTGTGCCTCAAATGGCTTCTCAATGTTTATTAACCCCCTAAGCAAGATAAATGTAAAGACAAGACCATTGTTTATTTCCTTTGATGTTAACTGCTATTAATGCACTGCATTGAAACATGGGACAAAGCAGTCTGCAAATAAATAAATAAAAAAAAAATTTTTCCTGTCTCGTATGATATTGCAGATTACACTTTGTTAACACATTTATAGGTACACATGCATTAAATGCAAAAGCCATTTTGGATAGCTAGGACCTACATAAAATTAAGGCAGTGATTACACAGATCTACAGGTGAACCTTGATTCCCTGCAGACAGATATGAACTGGATAAGCATAACAAAATTCCGGTATTCAGAATGTCTGTCGTAGCAATTCTTTGAGTTTAGAGAATTCATAGTCTTGGATGTTCATATGTGTTTACAAATTGTATAATATGATGTACACAATATTTAATCAAAACATGTGCTGACACTCTGTGTCTAAGATCTAATAGCCTATCAGGAAAAACACTATTTAATTATAAACCCAAAAATAGGTTGAAATAGGTCTGGGCACACAGGGAAGTGCAGCTGTAGTAGGGCATTTTGGCCACATCATCATGAAAATTTGCATCAGACTTTATCAGTTAGTTGACAACAGCATCTATTTAACAACATAGTCAGCTGTGTGTTTTCCATCCTTTTACATTTATGTTCTTGCCAAATGCATTTTCTTTGACCAGTGTCTATGGTTGTATAAACTTTAATGAGGTGCCCTTCAGAAGTTTTGAAACTGGTTTTCTCACTGGTCTGGTTTTGGGTATGTGGCCATGGAGACAAATTTGAGTAAAATTTCAAGTTGTTTTTTTATGTTTTATTATTTTTTTACACTAATTTATATATTTTATATTTCAAGCAAAATGTATAATCTGAAATCTTGTATTTTTAAAGTGTTCTTAGGTTTTAGAAAGATATAAATGCAAAATACATTTGTTTATAAGACCCAATTGTATTATACTCCAGTGAGTGGCCATGCTTAGTGTGAGTAAAATATGATACTGCTAAAAGATGAAGAACACCTGTAGGGAGCCTAGAACTCCCAGTGGTGAGTATGCTATTGTAATAAAGCTGTATTTATCATCTCCATATGTCTCTTTGTGTATGTCATCTTTTATATGCATCGTGAAATGAGCTCTAGTAAGTCTCACAAGGTTTGTTAAGGAAAATGTCTTAACCATAGCATGCACACAGATTACATGTTTCATATTGCCACTCCCTAATCCAAATGCCATAAGGAATAGGAATCATGAATGAGATTTCAGTACTGTTCAAATTAAATGGATTATGTGTGCAAATGTATAATAAGCCTATATTTTCACCACTGCAATCTATGATCATTAGGCTCTGTCAAACAACTGTGTCAACAACTATATCTATAAATTTACACAAAAGGAGTTGTAAAACACATCCAGCTGTGTCTTTTCCACAAGTATGCAGCTCTAGAGCTTTTTCCCAGTACAGACTCCAGGACATGATGTGTCATAAGGAAATCCTTCTTAGCCTGGTTTTGACTATATAAGTGATGAATACAAGTTTGAAGACAAACTTGACCAGAAGAGAAAGATGGAAGCTCTGAATATCCTTCTCTGTCTGCTTCTAACTGCCTTGCAGGGTAAGATTACCATTTATTGTCAATGGAAAATCCTTTTAAACTTGTACAATTTATGGGAAACAACTACTAGCTTGAACATCCTGTGTTTGTTTCACTCAAATATATAATTTCTCGGTTCAAAGAGCTGATTTTATATACATAGTTTAAAAAACATTTAACACACTGCACATACAGAAAGTCAAGATTTACCTTACATTAAATCTCATGGCTGTTTGTCATATTACAGCAAAAACCATTGGGTCATGGTCATGGACAACATGTAAATATCCTTCAACATTTTATATTGTGGGACAATATTTGTGCATATTTTCATATGATGTTGAAACTTAAATTCACATGATATATTTATTTTGTTCTATATAGATGACTGGCTGTATTCCACGGGAGATCCTTCATGTAGCTATCTATCTATCTATCTATCTATCTATCTATCTATCTGTCTGTCTGTCTGTCTGTCTGTCTGTCATCTTTTCTGTCTATCTGTTGGATGGAATAGTGTTACAGGGTCATATTTTATACATAAAAACCAGGTCATCTTGTAAGCAACATTTGGTCAGAGTAGTGCACCAAAGTACTAACAGCATAGTTATTATGTCATCACATACAGAAAATTAAAAAAGAAAATAGCTGCTTGATGGAACATTATGTTTCACTCAAATGATATAGTTTCTCAGTTCATAAAGCCGACATGAATTAAAAAAAAAAATAGTATGTTGGACATACAGAAAGAAATGTCATACATTAAAGCAATTAATGTTATCATTTGGCAATATAGTTGCATGTCTTTAAAAAATAAAATAATTTATAAGTGCTGAAACAATTGTTAATAGAACCATTAGCAGCAATTGGAGCCAGAGAAGAAATGGTTAAATTCATACTCATAATAATGGCTAACATCTCTTTCTCTGTTCTCTAGATGCCTATTCATGCAGGTATAACTGTGGATACGACTTTGGCAGTTGTTCATGTACACACTCTTGTCAGTACTATGGAAACTGTTGCTATGACTACGACAGTAAGTTTCTCTAGAACCAACACTTCAAAATCAAATGCTATATACACAAATCTGACTTGTATTCAGCATATGGGTCATTATTTCCAAAATTGAAATTGATTTCTCTTCCCTTTATACAGGCTACTGCTCAGTGACAACTGGTTGGCCAGATACAGCAGGTGCACCTACATCTTTTCTTATCTTTCTGTCAGATTCAGACCTTTTTCTAGTTTCCTGAGTGTAGAGGAAGGCTGATACCTTTGTTTCTCTCTCTGCTAGATTTACCCTCCTGCAAGTATAACTGTGGATACAACCTCGGCAGCTGCTCATGCAACTACAATTGTCACTATTATGGCAACTGTTGCCCTGATTATGACAGTGAGTTGATCAGACACTTCAAGATATAGATAGATGAAAATATTGTATTGCATATTATCCTCTGTGATTCCAGAAATTAAACAGATTTCTAGAATTTTAATGCAGTTTTATTTCTTCCCATTATACAGGCTACTGCTCTACAACAACTGACTGGCCAGCTACAACAGGTGCACCTACGACTGTCTTATCTGTCTGTCAATTCAAACCTTTCTCTGGTTTCCTGGATTTTGATGGAGGCTGATGTTCCTGTAGTCATACATCACACACATATTGATGGCTTTTAGTTGTACATGTATTAATACCTACGCTGCTAATATGTTTCTTTTAAGTGGTTTAAGTGACACTAATGACATTAAAAAACTTATACAAAGGCAGAAATAATTTCTGCTGTGCTCTTCTAACAAAATGTATACACTAATCAGTAAATGACTCACACATACTGATGAAATCTCTCTCCACTAGCTCCCTCCTGCAGGTATAACTGTGGATACTACATTGGCAGCTGCTCATGCACCTACAATTGTCATTATTATGGCAACTGTTGCCCTGATTACGACAGTGAGTTTCTCTTGATCAGACAGACACTTTAAAATCAAATACTATACACACAATTAAAAATCTTTTCTATAGTCAATAGATTTAGCTGAATTAATTTTCAAATAAATGGCTTTAATTTTAATTATTAATTTCCTATTGTTCCTATTGATCAGACAGTTGCTTTAAGATGAAATACTGTAAACACTAATCTTTCATGTAGTAAGCACATGGGTCATCAAATTTCTCGTAATGAAATGCATTTTGCTGAATCAAAGCAGAATTGTGGCATTACTTTTCTTCCTACTTCAGTTTTATTTCTTCTGTTTACACAGACTACTGCTCATCAACAAGTGAAACTCCAGTAACGTGGGCAGAAACAACAGGTATTGCTGCCATTCATTTGATTTTAAGTGACACTGATGGGATTAATGGATGTTAGAGAGATTAAAATAACTTTATATACCGTTTCTTTCTCTTTTTTTCATGAAAATATAAAATGTTAAATATATTTTATTCTATTGTTCTCCATCTCTATATGAAGAACCATGTGGTGGCTATATGACAGATTGGATGGGTGAATTTTTCAGTCCCCGGTACCCTAATAACTACCCTGATTCCTCATATTGCACATGGACCATTCATAGCACAGGGAACACAACTGTGTCATTGATCTTCAACGATGTTGCGTATGACATTATTTGAATTTCCTTATTTTGGAACTGAAACTGTATACTGAAAATGTGTAACTTTTACATTTCTTTTTTCCAAGGAAACGTTACAACAAAATACTAATATGGTGGACAAACAAATTGATTTACATTTGTTTTCCCTGTCTTCTCTGCTTGCTAGTTTGGAAACATGCTGTGATTACATCAGCGTATATGATGGTCCTTCTACCCTCCACCCCTTACTGGGAGAAATACGGGACTACAGGAACCAGTCTTTCAAATCTAGCAACAATGATCTGACTGTACTTTTCTACAGTGATCACAGTGTAACAAATAGAGGATTTCATGCAAACTGGGTCTTTGTAGGTAAGCAATTGAAAGGAATGAATAAAACTTGACTATAATATTATGAATTTCAACTTAGATTGCTTTATCAAATTTCTAGTCATTTTGTAATTATTGTTTTAAATGTAGTATCAAAGTTAACTTTATTTGCCAATTGAATTGGATTTATTTTTTCCAAATTTTTTTTTTTCATAAAAATGCTAACAGAATTGTTTAGAAACTGGAATCGTTAAATGAAGCCGAGCCCAGAAACGGAAATGTTAAAGGGATAGTTCGCCCAAAAATGAAAATTCTGTCATCAATTACTCACCCTCATGTCTTTTAAAACCCATAAGACCTTCATTCATCTTAGGAACACAAAATAAGATATTTTTGATGAAATCTGAGCTTTCTGACACTGCAAAGACAGCAACGCAACTGAAACATTTTATGGCCCAGAAAGGTAGTAAGGACATTGTAAATATAGTCAATGTGACATCAGTGGTTCAACCGTAATGTTATAAAGCGACAAGAATACTTTTGTGTGCACAAAGAAAACAATAATACTGACTTTATTCAACAATTTCTTCTCTTCCGGGTCAGTCTCCGCCGCCATTCACGAGAGTACCATGACGCATGCCTGTGATCCTGCTGACGTAGAACAAGCATGCGCTCCGACTTGTTTACAAGTAGAGGAATGCACACACATGCGTTGTCATGGAGACTGACCCAGAACAGAAGAAATCATCGAATAAAGTCATTATTTTTGTTTTCTTTGCGCACAAAAAGTATTCTTGTAGCTTCATAACATTACGGTTGAACCACTGAAGTCACATGGATTCAACACTAGTTCAACAATACTTTAATTTTCTTTTTCAATGATAATTTGAATGATTAAACAGAGGCTCCCTCAGAAGACCCCTGCTACAGCTACACTGTACTGGACGATCCTTGGAGAGCCACTAACTATCAGAATGACTTAGTCTTAATGTGTGACCAGAATGTGAATTGGTTTGGCTGGTATCGTCTCTTCATTCATGGCCAGAGTGTCCAGATGCCAGACACATGTGTTGATATGAACAAATGTGGCACTGATGCCCCACTGTGGTTAAACGGAGGACACCCAAAAGTCGAGGATGGAGTGGTCACTCGAGATGTCTGTGGTCACTGGTCCAATAACTGCTGCAATTTCAAATCTACTCCCATTAGTGTGAAAGCCTGTCCAGGCAATTATTATGTCTATGAGTTTGTCAGACCAAGTGGCTGTTATTTGGCATACTGTGCAGGTAATCATATTTACACGTGTCCTTGATACATCTACATTTGTGTGTCTCTTCATTAATAACTAGTCATTAAAACATTTCTTCCAGATGTGGGGAGCATCAACACCACATATACAACTGCTGCACCAGAGACCATCTCATCTGGTAATGGCCACACATAAGTGCTATAATACATGAATTTTCACATTTGCTGGCTACAAACATACAGTCAACATGACATGCCTCAAATGTCTCAGCCTCTTGTCAAGGATACCTTTACCCATTGATCAACAACCACAGTATCTATTATGCCAATTTTGCTAACTTTTCCTCCTCTTTTCCCACATGCCTGGACTCATGTATTTTGGGGCATCACAATCACCAGTTCCTCACCCTCAGTGTGGAGGACACCTGTATGGTTCTTCAAATCTACTCCCATTAGTGTGAAAGCCTGTCCAGGCAATTATTATGTCTATGAGTTTGTCAGACCAAGTGGCTGTTATTTGGCATACTGTGCAGGTAATCATATTTACACGTGTCCTTGATACATCTACATTTGTGTGTCTCTTTATTAATAACTAGTCATTAAAACATTTCTTCCAGATGTGGGGAGCATCAACACCACATATACAACTGCTGCACCAGAGGCCATCTCATCTGGTAATGGCCACACATAAGTGCTATAATACATGAATTTTCACATTTGCTGGCTACAAACATACAGTCAACATGACATGCCTCAAATGTCTCAGCCTCTTGTCAAGGATACCTTTACCCATTGATCAACAACCACAGTATCTATTATGCCAATTTTGCTAACTTTTCCTCCTCTTTTCCCACATGCCTGGACTCATGTATTTTGGGGCATCACAATCACCAGTTCCTCACCCTCAGTGTGGAGGACACCTGTATGGTTCTGGACTGTTTTCCAGTCCAAACTACCCAAACTATTACCCTGACAATGCCTACTGTGTGTGGTATCTCTCTGCTCAGCAAGGACAGAGGATCTTCCTGACATTTGCTGATGTGCAGTAAGTGAGAGAACATGTGATTGATTTAATTGCTGTAGAACTAGTGCAATTATGTTTGCCATCTATAAAGTTACAAGCAATCTTTTATTAATGAAATCATTGTAATTATACCATATTTACCATATAAAATGTTATCTCATTTTATTGTAGTCTTTAATATACAGTATACATTGTGTACTGCTATAGAAACAGTGTTATTATTGAGGGGTTTTTTTGTGCAGTACCACTAGCGACCTGCAGGTGGAACCAGTTTTATGACTTGTTTAATTTAGGTTAAAATGTCTTAAAAGGTCTATTTTTGGTTCTTTCAGATTGGAGCGCTGCTGTAACTGTGACTACATCACAGTATATGACGGCTCTTCCACTGGTTTTCCACAGCTAGGAAGGGTCTGCTTCAACGACACCACACACCAGGTGTTTCACTCTTCTTCACAATACTTGACTGTTGTCTTCAGGAGCGACTACTCTGGTGTCAGCCATGGTTTCAAGGCCCTTTTCACAAGCTCTCTGACTGCAGATGAAGGTAATGCCTTGTGAAATAATACTAAAATATAACAACTTCTAGATGCTAAACAGCTGGAATTATTATAAAATATTTATAAATTTAAATAAATACTTTTAATGCACAAAAATACATTGAGGGGATGAAATTCTTTGCTCTGCAGGTCGTGTGGATTGTTCCTCAGACAACATGGTCATTGTCATTCAGACGTCTTACCTGAACTCACTCGGGTTGAGTGGAAATTACCTTTATGTGGATGACCATCTTTGCAGACCCAACATTAGCAGTACTGAGGTTCTGTTTAGCTTCCCACTTGACGCATGTGGGACCGCCAAAGAGGTACAATCTACACGATCTACATGCTCAGTACTGATAAAAGGGGTGATGTCTCTTGTTTTCTTTTGCCAAAACTGAAAATTTGAATGTTCACCACACAATATCACCCACTCTCTGTCTCCCTTTTCCTTTAGATGATGAATGGTTATGTGTCCTACACCAACAATGTGCGGGCCTCTCAGTCTCAGTCGGGTGAAATCACTCGTCAGTCACAGTTCCTACTACGTGTGGGCTGCAGAATGGAGCCGGACACCATGGTGCAGATACTCTACAAGGCCAGGGAGAACATCAATGCCAACATCACAGGAACGGGACGCTTCAATGCCAGCATAGCTTTCTTCACCTCCAGCAGTTTCTACCAACAAATTTATGACTCTCCATATGAGGTGAACCTGAACCAGTTTCTGTATGTTCAGGTCAAGCTAAACAGGCTTGACAACAGTCTGGATCTGTTCCTGGACACCTGTGTAGCGTCTCCAAATCCCAGTGACTTCAAAGATCGCTCCTATGACCTTATGCGTAACGGGTAAGACCTTTTCATTCTTAAATGTGACTCCCTCCACCATCATATCATACGTGACAGTGGAATCAGTTGAGATCTAAGACAGTATTTCAGTCAGAATTCTGTTGCTCCCAGTCTAAATATGTTCTTGTACTCATTTGAACTAATAGTGAAACCAACTCTGTCTGAGTTTGACTGTAGTTCAAACTTTATCCGTATTGTATTTCTTTTTTATCTTCTGTAGATGTCCCATTGACAACACATATTATTCCTACACCAACGGTCAGCACAACTATGCTCAGTTCAGTTTCCGGGCTTTCAAGTTCCTCCGGACTCACGCCTTTGTGTACCTGCAGTGTAAGGTGATCATCTGCCCAGATAACGACTACAACTCTCGCTGCCGCCAAGGTTGCCGCTTGCGTCGCAAGAGATCCCTTGGCAGCACCTACCACACCAATACTGTGACGCTGGGGCCAATCAAACTCAAAGGTCAGAGGCTAATAGCAGGTATCATTTCTAATTAATTGTTATTAATATTGAGGCTTTTCTAATGACTGTCCATTCACTGTCATTCCAGGCATCGTATGAAGGAGTCTGAAACGTCTGAAATAAATGATCATCTTCTTAATCATAACCTTAATCATTACTATTAATAAATCCTTATTAACCACCCAGCAAATTACTCTAAATACAAATTGTATTTTTGAAATTCAATAAAGCATTTCTAAAAAGCTGTCCTGGTCACTGGTGTCTCCAATGGTTTATATTCACTTGTATTCCATTCAATGCACATGGCCTCTCTGAAATGAATCAACATAAACATAAACAATATAAACAATACATATAGATCAAATCATTTTCAAAACTGTTTTATGGAGTTTTTGTCTACTGAACTTTTTAAACTGTTTTGTCAGCTAAACAATTGTCATGTTGTTAAACTACAGTGTAATCCCCTGAACACACTGTACTTCTATCCCTCACAGCCTCAGTTTCATTCCTGCCAAACATTAAATATGGCACTACCAACCTAACCTATTAGTGAAAGTGAAAGTGACGTGACATGTGGCCAAGTATGGTGACCCATACTCGGAATTAGTGCTCTGCATTTATCCCATCCAAAGTGCACACACACAGCAGTGAACACACACACACACACCGTGAACACACACCCGGAGCAGTGGGCAGCCATTTTTTGCTGCGGCGCCCAGTCGAACCCGCAACCTTTGGGTTACGAGTCCGACTCTCTAACCATTAGGCCACAACTTAGGTTAATATTATTACCACTAGGCCTATTATTATTTGTCTCACATAATATTTATTATACATTTACATAATTACATTTACAAGAACTGTCTAAACTAATCAATTCACCAGGATGAATCAAACTTTCCAACATATGACAGAGGGGACAAACCGATGCACTACAATGAGTCAAACTTTCTAAACATATGAGACACGGATAACTGAACTGATTCACTAAAATTAATTGACTTGCTAGAGCTACATACAAGAGAGCCGAAAGTGTGGTTGTCTCTGCTCGCTCAGCAGTGAATAAATGTGATAAAAGCAGTGATCGTTGCTCTACACCACTAATCACTGGAAACAGTAGCTTGTTAACAGAAAAGCTGTTTTGAAAGCAACTGAGCTACTCGCAAAGCTATATGTGGTTAGAGTGTCACCGTCACATTATTGTTTGTGTCGTATGCCACATGCTGAATCTTGCAGAAACTCTCTACCCACAAATCTAAAGACTGTTGTTGTTACCGTGGAAGAAATAGTCACTTTAAAAGAGAAAAAAACGCAAGACGTGAACAAATTATCAGCCTGGATCAGCGACAGTGCGACAGTGCCGCATGCGTTATTAGGGCCCGAGCACCGATGGTGTGAGATTGCACTCAGGCAATCTGCCCCAAACTTCACACGTTTGATAGGTGTTCTGTCCTGAAAAAATACCCATGCCCAAATTCAGTTATAGTCATAGCGCCACCTGCTGGAAACAGGAAGTGACATGCTTACACTGTTATGGACTCCTAGGAACATATTAAAAAGCGTCAGCAAGTGTTAAATAGGCTGGCAACATGCTAAAAACATACTAAAACATGCTAGCAACACTTAGCTAAGTGCTAAAGCATGCTATTAATGCAGTGAAACAGGAAGTTACTGTAACTCAGGCATGCAGTGTCCAATCTGCCCCAAATTTAACAAGTTTGATGCGAGTCCTGGCCTGAACTCATCTACATGCAAAGATTCCGTTTTAGTCATAGCGCCACCTACTGGCAACAGGAAGTGACATGTGTAATACTGTGATGCACTATTAGTAACACAGTAAAATATGCCATTGTGTGCTAAACATGTTAGAAACATGCTCAAACATGCTAGCAACACTTAGCTAAGTGCTAAAGCATGCTATTAATGCAGTGAAACAGGAAGTTACTGTAACTCAGGCATGCAGTGTCCAATCTGCCCCAAACTTCACACGTTTTATAAGAGTCCTGGCCTGAAGACATCTACATGCTCATATTCGGTTACAGTTATAGCGCCACCTACTGGCAACAGGAAGTGACATGTGTAATACTGTGATGCACTATTAGTAACACAGTAAAATATGCCATTGTGTGCTAAACAAGCTAGAAATATGCTCAAACATGCTAGCAACACTTACTAAGTGCTAAAGCATGCTATTAATACCATGAAAGAGGAAGTTGTTGTAACTCATGCATACAATGCCCAATCTGCCCCAAACTTCACACGTTTTATAAGAGTCCTGGCCTGAACACATCTAAAAGTCAATATTCAGTTATAATTATAGCGCCACCTGCTGGCAACAGAAAATGACTGGTTTCACAGTAACTTAAACATGCAATGTCCGATCTGCCCTAAACTTCACATGTTTGATAAGAGTCCTGGCCTTAACACATCTTAAGGCCAATATTCAGTTATAATCATAGCGCCACCTGCTGGCAACAGGAAATGACTTTGTTTACACTAACTCAAACATACCATGTTCAATCTCCACCAGACTTCACATGTTTGATAAAAGTCCTGGCCTGAAGACATCTACATGCCAACATTCAGTTATAATCATAGCGCCACCAGCTGGCAGCAGGAAGTTTGGCACATATAAATGACTTTGAAATATTCCTCCTATATTTACCATTTTAAATGCATATTGCCCACTGTTTGCTGTTTTCCTAAAGCCACCGAGTGGCAGTGAGCCCGGGTGCGAGGGCCCTTTCATCGCTGCTTGCAGCTTTAATTGCATTTTGTTTTGTGTTTTCCCCTCAACAAAACATTTCTATGTCTGTCTTAGGAAACGTTTTATACAGTTCATTCACTTAAAAATATTTAAAGGGGTCATATGATGCGATTTCAAGTTTTCCTTTCTCTTTGGAGTGTTACAAGCTGATTGTGCATAGATAAGATCCCTGAAGTTGCAAAGACTAAAGTCTCAAAACCAAAGAGATATTCTTTATCAAAGTGAAGACTCTGCCACGCCCCCCTAAAACGGCTCGTTCTAACACGCCCCCACATATCTACCTCACTATGTGGAAATATTTGCATAATGCCGCCCAAATGTTCACGCAAAGAAAGAAGGCGTGGTTTCGGTAACCGCATTTAGTGTTGATGCAGCCATGTCAGGGAGACACTCTGTGTCTCTAGGTGAAAGCAAAAGCACTTTATTTGGTCTTCCGAAAGTAGATGCAAGAAGGCGTGGTTTCAGTAATCGCAGTTAGTGTTGAAGCAGCATGTCAGGGAGACGCTGTGTGTTTCTAGGCGAAAGCAAAAGCACTTTATTTGGCCTTTCGAAAGTAGATGCATTTAGGAATCTTTAAGATTACTTACAACAGAACAGCAATGCATTTTATGGACGACCGTTTCGTGAACCTAGGAGAGGAGGTAATTCTGACTTTGCTATGACAATCTGGCGCTTCTGAATCAGCTACTGTTTTGTTATTAGGTTGAAGTATTTGCTATTGACTGTTCAAATGTGGAGTTTTGCGCATCGTGTGTGTGTGTGCGCGAGCGAGCGCGAGAGAGAGCGCGAGAGAGAGAGCGAGAGAGAGCGCGCGCGCGCGAGAGAGAGAGAGAGACAGGGTCACATCACAGTGGAGTCAGCTGTCTTAACCGTGGCTTGTGTACTGCAAACACATACCAGCTTCATCACTGTGTCTGTCACGCGACTCTGTTCCCCTTTCGGGCTCTGTCTTTACATTTATTTTGAAAGATGAAGCTCGCGATTATGGTAGGGGGCGTTACATTTCCGACGAGTGCTTGCGGTGTTCGGCCAATCACAATGCACTGGGTCAGCTGGCCAATCAGAGCAGACTGCGCTTGTCGGAAGGAGGGACTTTGTAGAAAACTAAGCGTTTGAGAGAGGCGGGGCATAGAGGACCTACAATAATGTACAGTATTTGAAAAATAATGTGTTTTTTGAACATTAAAGCATGTCAACATATTCTGTTACACCAAATACACAAAATAATGATCTTTAAAAAAGCATCATATGACCCCTTTAAAATGCTCAATCAAAAAACTTCTCTCATTTTTATTTTTCCTATGTTCTACTTTTTACACTCGCATACGATTTCAAATTATACATTTTTACTTTCATTGAAGAATGTTTTGTGCTAGATATCTGGAGTTTTAATTAAGCAGAACTTTTACTCAGTATCCATACTTTCACTTAAGTATCATTTTTGAGTACTTTTACACCCCTGTGAATGACTTCAGGCCTATCAGATGTCATTGGCTGTGCGCAGTGAAAAGATGGATTGGCTATGGCCCTAATGCTGTTGTTTTTCATGAATTTGAGAATTTGCTGCCCGTGAAAAAAATTCTTACTTTGAAAGATTTTAACAGTTAAAACCATACAGAGAATGACAGTTAGAGGAGGACATCCTTATGATAGATCAATATCCTGGAGCTTGAAACTACATAATTGTGGAAACGACACAGCTGGACGCAGTATGTATTTTATATCTGTTGACACAAAGTTTGTGATAGTGGTGTGGTCAGAGATTGCAGTACAGATAATGATCATGACACTATGTTTACATTTTATGTAGTTCAAACTATACTGTGGCAGTTCTACATCGCTTCAAAACACATTTGTTTCATTCAGGTAACTGAAACTGGGGCTACTTCCATGTCTCTTGTGTCACACCAAAGACTTGCTCTCTTTTGTTTCATATATTCATCATTTCATATTTTTGTAAAACTGTAAATAACTGTACATATTTTTGTAAAACTTTTGTTATGTAATGGTGATAACTTTGCCTAAGAGTATGTGTTTGATTTAGTTTAATAAACATGATCACTCCACAATCACAAACTTTGTGTAAACAGACATATTTATAAATTAATACAGAGCCAAGAGTAATAATAAAAGTTGCATAATATCCAGCTGTGTCTTTTCCACGATTATGCTGCTCTATTGATATTTTTCCATCAGAGGCTCCAGGATATTGATGTGTTATAAATAAATCCTCCTTAGGCTGGTTTTGACTATATAAGTGGTAGTTGAATAATTGAAGGCAAACTTGATCAGACGAGAGAAAGATGGAAGCTCTGACTCTCCTTCTTTGTCTGCTTCTAACTGCTAAAACCTCTCTAGGTAAGAATATAATTAACCGGTAAAGGAGAAAATATATATCTGTCTGCCTGCCTGTCTGTCTGTCTATCTAATCTTAATGTCAGTTGTGATTCTCTGCATTTACATTGTTGTGATGATCATTCTCTGTTTTCCATCTCTATGTGAAGCATCATGTGGTGGCACTATGACAGATTGGATGGGTGAATTTTTCAGTCCTCAGTATCCTAAAAACTACCCTGATAACTCACTGTGCACATGGACCATTCGTAGCACAGGGGCGACGACTGTGTTATTGACCTTCACTGATGTTTTGTAGGAAACATTTATTACCTCTATTGTTTTTGTCTCTAAATCTTTTGCAAAGCAATTTAATTATGTAATGTAATTTTATTAATTTGAAAAAAAAGATGAAACTTCAAAAATAAAGTTTAAAAAGTTTTTTTTGTGAACACATAATGTATGTTTTTAAATATTCTGCGTCAAAACATTAATTTGTTTCTCTCTCTTTCTCTCTCTTCTCTTTTTGTTAGTTTGGAAACATGCTGTGATTACATCAGAGTATATGATGGTCCTTCTACCCTCTACCCCTTACTGGGAGAAATACGGGAGTACGAGAACAAACACTACAACTCCAGCAACAATGATCTGACTGTGCTTTTCTACAGTGACGGGAGTGTATCAAGAAGAGGATTTCATGCAAACTGGGTCTTTGTAGGTAAGCAATTAAATGAAATTAATAGAATAACATTTTTTAAAACAATTCCGGATTGAATGTACGATTCCGGCAATGTTTTTTGCACATGCATTCAGTGACCAGTTCACTTCATTCCCTTAGTGTATGACACTTATGAGGCAGTTCTTTTCTTAGAGAATCAAAGACACAAGGCTCAACCAGTGTAATCAGATTCCCAAATCAATCACTTTTATGATCCGCCTCTTTTAATTGAATCAAAAATACTACCCGTGTAGTCTGATTCTTTAACAAATTACTTTTGTGAGCAGCTTCTTTTTTGTGAATCAAAAATACACAGCGCAGCGCAGATTGCTGAATGCAAGACTCCTATGAGTCGTTTCTTTTTATTGTATCAGAAACACACCTTACAATTTATTTAAGGCTTAAATCAATGTAGTTACCAACTTTATATAACAATGTTTCCGTGTTAGGTAAGTTAATTTAAAATTTAAATCTAAAAGTAATTAATTACTAGCTATTAAATCCATCTTCAATGGTGTAATTAGATTACTGTACTAATTTCTCTCTCTAAAATATTGCATTGCTTATTACTAATTAATTTCTAAATCCCATATCAACCTTGACCAGTTGAACAATACAAGGATAGACATGAAGCTACTCTTTTAATTCTTTCAAATAAATAATGTAAAATTGCATAAATTATTCTTAAACTGACCAAAGCATTTAAAGAGAGGTTACATTAAAAACATACATTTTAACATTAGATGATAAATGTTGATGTTTAATGCACTATTGTTTTATATAGAATTACAGAAGTAACTGTAATTACAGAAAAAGAGTAATCCCTTACTTTACTTTTTTAAGGTAAAAAGTAATTAAATTACAGTATTGACTTACTTAATGCATTACACCCAACACAGCAATGTTTAAAGATACACAGGAATATTGTCAGGAGTATTTTTTTTTTTAAAGTTTTTGTAAACCCACCTTTTGCAAGAATTTTTTTAAAGCATTTTTCTAAGTTAACTCGTCACTTGGAAATGGAATTGCATTTCTCTTTTCCTAATATTTCCTCTTTTGAAATACTAAACAATCTTTAATATAACCATTGAGAAAGCGGAATTCTTAAGAGCAACTGGAACCAGGGGTGGAGTTTATTGTGATTCCCATTAATACTGGCTAAAATCTATCTCTCTGTTTGTTAGATTCCAATTCATGCAGAAATAACTGTGGATACTCACTTGCCACTTGTTCATGTGACGACTCCTGTCAGGACAACAGAAACTGTTGCTATGACTACAACCGTGAGCTCCTCTTGATCAGACATTTCAAGATCAATCATTATACACAAATCTCCCTCGTTCTGAGCATGTCTGTAATTTCCAGAATGTAATTAAAATAATGTTCTTATGTTCATATATGTTACTTTAAATGTACAATATAAGATGTATATAAAAATGCTCTTCCCTTTATACAGACTACTGCTCACAGACGACGACTGGGCCAACTACAACAGGTTCAATTGCATCTTATCTGTCTGTTAGATTCAAAACTCTCCCTGATTTCCTGGGTGTTTTTGTAGTCATGTATGCATAAATGGCTTCATGGATAATATGTGTTTTTCTCTCTTCTAGATGTCTCCTCCTGCATGTATAACTGTGGATACAACCTCGGCAGCTGCTCATGCACCTCCAACTGTCATTATTATGGCAACTGTTGCCCTGACTATGACAGTGAGTTTGTTTTCATCAGAGAGACAATTTTAAATAAAATACTATAAACAAAAATACAAATCTAAAAATACATATCTGTAATGTAGTGAACACATGGGTCATTATATTTCTAGTAATGAAACAGATTTTGCTGAATCAATGGAGAATTGTAGCGTTACTTTTCCTCAGTTTTATTTTTTCTTGTTTCAGGCTACTGCTCAACAACAACAGCAACTACTTACTGGCCAGATACAACAGGTGCTGCGACCAATGAGTTGAATTTAAGTGACAGTAAAGAGATTAAACAATATTGTAAAGGCAATAATTAGTCAAACTTTGCTCTTCTAACTAAATGTGTACACTAATCAATGAAGTGACCCAATAATGTGTACATTAAACATACACAGATGACATCATGAGTAAAATCTGCTCCTCTCTGCTAGCTCCCTCCTGCATGTATAACTGTGGATACCACCTTGGCACCTGCTCATGCACCTATGACTGTCAGTACTATGGCAACTGTTGCCCTGACTACGACAGTGAGTTCCTTTTGATCAGACATTTTAAGATCAAATATTCTCTAATTTCACTAGTATTGAGCATATGGTTTGAGCATATGGTTATGCATTGTATTTCCATAAATTAAGTTTTCAGATTTTCCAAATTTTTCATGTAGTTTTAACTTTTCACTTTATACAGGCTACTGCCCAAAGACAACCACTTGGCCAACTACAACAGGTGCAAACTTGTTTATTTGTCTAGTGTAGAGTACTGTAGTGTCCTGCATGTAAAGGGAGGCTGATTATGGAAGGCTGATGGGGCCAAAGGTCTTTAAACAGAGTGAAATTTGACCATGTCAACACGCACTGTTTGTCCGTGTTAATGTGACAACTCACACAACAGTCAATGAAATTGCTGTATTTGAGAATGTATTTGCAGATGTGATGCGATGGTACATTGGTACACACATATACAAACATCAGATGTGATGTCTATTCATGAAGAATGTCATAATGGTACACTGGTATGCATGTATGCAAACATCAGACGTTATATTTGTTCATGAGGGATAATGCATGAGATATGTTGTGTGTGATGTCAGTCTTATGTCATGATTTGTCATGTCCTTTTTAGTTATTTAGTTCAACGTTCTTTCTCAGGTAACAATCTTAATGTACATTGTATCATTATTTAATTTACTCTAGCACAGTAGATATCAGTAAAGCAATGCTGCATTAAACTAAAAACGGATAAATATGTGGGTAAATCTAGTGGTAAATCTGCTTTTAAAAAGTATTACACTTTTGAGCACAGACAGAATGTGTGTGCATTGAGAGACACATTCAAATTTGTCATCTTAACACAGTTTAACTGTGCGTCTTTAGAAAGATGGTGAAAACTGATGCCTTAACATGGCCAGAATGTACATCTACACATAAAAAATAAATGTTCAAAATTGCTGCGTCAACGCAGACAAACAGTCCGTGTTGACAAGGTCAAATTTCACACATTCCGTTTAATGACTTTTAGCACCTCCACCTTCCATAGCTGATCTCCCTGTAGTCATGCATCACATACATACATGCATACATACATGTATTAATGGCTTCACAGGTAATGTCTCTCTCTAAAAGCTCCCTCCTGCAGGTATTCCTGTGGATATGACCTTGTCTTGTGCTCATGCTCCTACGAGTGTCGGTACTATGGCAACTGTTGCCCTGACTATGAAAGTGAGTTCCTCTTGATCAGACAGACACTTTAAAATCAAATACACAGATTTTCCTGTGGTCAGCACATGGACCATGAAATGGATTTTGCTGAATAAAAGCATACTTGTGGGATTACTTTTCTTCCCATTTCAATTGTGTCTTTTCTCTTCATGCAGGCTTCTGTATAGCAACAATTCACCCACCAGATGATCCAACAGGTGCTGCTGCCATTCAGTTCAACTTAAGTGACACTAATGACATCAGATGGATTTGGTTGAATGCACATCTTTTGTAACTAAATGTACTTTAACTAATGAAGTGACCCAATAATGTGTACATCACACATATTTTGATGACAGGTAAAATCTGTCCTTCTCTCTATTAGCACCCTCTTGCATGTATAACTGTGGGTACCACCTTGCCTATTGTTCATGCTCCAGAGCCTGTCAGTACTTTGGTGACTGTTGCCATGACTATGAGAGTGAGTTCCTTCTGATCAGATACACAAATATTACCTGAGTCATTGTGTTTCATATCATGAAATAGATTTTGCTGAATTGGAGAAGACTTGTTATGTTTCTTCCCCTTCATTTTTATCCCTTTTGTTTAAACAGGCATCTGCTTGAGAACAACAACACCAACAACAACAACGTCAACTCGCATGGCAGATACAGCAGGTGCTGCTGTCATAATTTAAGTTATGAATTTAAGTGACCCAGATGACTTTAAAAAGCAACTATTTCAGCTTTACTCTTCTATCAAAATGTATATACTAAGAGATTCAATAATGTGTACATCACACACAATAAGTATGGTTTACTGATGGTTCCTCTCATTATAATGACAATAAATTATCATCTGATTGTGCAACAATTTACAAGTGCAGTACCTTCTCAAACCTATATTTATACATTCTACAATAGATGCATACTCTTGCGAGAATAACTGTGGCCAGAGGCTTCCTCTCTGTAGTTGTGATGATGACTGTCAGTACTATGGCAGCTGTTGCCCTGACTACGACAGTGAGTTCCTCTTGATCAGACTGACACTTTAAAATCAAATACTATATGGTAATAAACTTAAGATGAAACTAAAATAAAGATTTTGTTGAATCCTACTTCCATTTTATCTCTTCTCTTTACACAGGTTACTGCTCAACAACAACTACTACTACTTACTGGCAAGAAACAACAGGTATTGCTGCCAGTCATTTGATTTTAAGTGACACTGATGGGATTAATAGCATGAAATGGATCAGAACAATTTCTGTAAAGGCAGTAATGAGACCTGTTTGGCTTTTTTAGCTAAGCATACACACCAATATTTTATATATATAAACACCTGTCGATGACATTGAGTAAAATCTGTTCCTCTCTCTACTATAGCAGGTCCCTCCTGCAAGTATAACTGTGGATACAATTTCAGCAGCTGCTCATGCAACTACGACTGTCAGTACTATGGCAATTGTTGCTATGACTTTCACTGTAAGTTCCTCAAAAACAGGTGAAACAGCCCTTATTCACAGCTCAGTATATCATAAATTGTATTAGACTATGTATAATGTATAATATGCATAGATATACAAATGAAGTTTTGCGGAATGTTCACACTGCTATTTTCCATAAAGCATACTGTGACCAGGCGCTTCATTTTTGTGTTAATTATTATTAGAAAACTGAAACATGATCCTTCTGGTTCATACTCATTTAGTTTTATCTCCTTTTTATTCAGGGTATTGCCCATCGTACCCAACAACAGGTACTGCTATACCTTGTGTGTGTGTGTGTGTGTGTGTGTGTGTGTGTGTGTGATTTTTGTAATGCCTGAGGATAAATTCATAAAACTTATGTATCTGATTCTGATGACACTTGTTTGTAACTATAAAATGTCTTTCTTTGTGATCTCCAGTTTCTCACCCTCAGTGTGGAGGACACCTGTATGGTTCTGGACTGTTTTCCAGTCCAAACTACCCAAACTATTACCCTGACAATGCCTACTGTGTGTGGTATCTCTCTGCTCAGCAAGGACAGAGGATCTTCCTGACATTTGCTGATGTGCAGTACGTGAGACATCAGCTGTGATTCAACTATGGCAAAACCAGTGGAACAATGTTTGCTATCCATAAAATTACAAGCAATATTTGATTGATGAAAACATTTTTCAGCTTTGAATATATTATTATGAAAATTAAAAAAAGGTGTACTGTTAAGAGAAATGTTATTGAGTTTTTTGTGCAGTACCACTAATGACCTGTAGGTGGAACCAATTATATGGTTGGTTTAATTTAGGTTAAAATGTCTTAAAAGGTCTATTTTTGGTTCTTTCAGATTGGAGCGCTGCTGTAACTGTGACTACATCACAGTATATGACGGCTCTTCCACTGGTTTTCCACAGCTAGGAAGGGTCTGCTTCAACGACACCACACACCAGGTGTTTCACTCTTCTTCACAATACTTGACTGTTGTCTTCAGGAGCGACTACTCTGGTGTCAGCCATGGTTTCAAGGCCCTTTTCACAAGCTCTCTGACTGCAGATGAAGGTAATGCCTTGTGAAATAAAGTTTCAATATTTTCTTGAAATAACTATACTGAACAGTTGTTGTAAAAGTTATTTGATCCCTTCTGTGGCCATACTTGGGTTTTCATTTTCGCCTAATAAAATTAAATGTACTTTAAAAACAGGTAGCCTATAACCAATTGCCTTTGTCTACCTTGTATTTCGTCATATACTTTAATGCACAAAATTACATTGAGGGAATGAAACTCTTGTATTGCAGGTCGTGTGGATTGTTCCTCAGACAACATGGTCATTGTCATTCAGAGGTCTTACCTGAACTCACTTGGGTTGAGTGCAAATGACCTTTATGTGGATGACCATTTTTGCAGACCCACTATTAGCAGTACTGAAGTTGTGTTCAACTTCCCTCTTGATGCATGTGGAACTGCCAAAGAAGTATGATCTACATCTGTACCAGATCCAGTCAAGTGTTAATACTGAAAATTACTCTTAATAGCTTCTTGTCAGCTTTTAATGCTTGATATTGCTGTGTCAGATTAGACACCCCAAATGTTTACCACACAATATAACCCACTCTCTGTCTCTCTTTTCCTTTAGATGATGAATGGTCATGTGTCCTACACCAACAATGTGCGGGCCTCTCAGTCTCAGTCGGGTGAAATCACTCGTCAGTCACAGTTCCTACTACGTGTGGGCTGCAGAATGGAGCCGGACACCATGGTGCAGATACTCTACAAGGCCAGGGAGAACATCAATGCCAACATCACAGGAACGGGACGCTTCAATGCCAGCATAGCTTTCTTCACCTCCAGCAGTTTCTACCAACAAATTTATGACTCTCCATATGAGGTGAACCTGAACCAGCTCCTGTATGTTCAGGTCAAGCTTAACAGGCTTGACAACAGTCTGGATCTGTTCCTGGACACCTGTGTAGCGTCTCCAAATCCCAGTGACTTCAAAGATCGCTCCTATGACCTGCTGCATAACGGGTAAGACCTTTTCATTCTTAAATGTAACTCCCTGCTACATCATATCATATGTGACAGTGGAATAAATTGCGATCGTAGACAGTATTAGTAAGAATTCTGTTGCTCCCAGTCTAAATATGTTCTTGCACTCATTTGAACTAATAGTGAAACCAACTTAGTGTCTGAGTTTGACTGTAGTTCAAACTGTATCCAAATTGTATTTATCTTCTTTTGTCTTTTGTAGATGTCCCATCGACAACACATATTATTCCTACACCAACGGTCAGCACAACTATGCTCAGTTCAGTTTCCGGGCTTTCAAGTTCCTCCGGACTCACGCCTTTGTGTACCTGCAGTGTAAGGTGATCATCTGCCCAGATAACGACTACAATTCTCGCTGCCGCCAAGGCTGCCGCTTACGTCGCAAGAGATCCCTTGGCAGCACCTACCACACCAATACTGTGACGCTGGGGCCAATCAAACTCAAAGGTCAGAGGTCTTTCTGAGTCCCACAGTTAAAGCAATGATTTACTCACCTACATGTTGTTCCAAACCTATATACTTTTACTTTCTCTGTGGAGCACAAAAGGCGGATTTTGAAGATTCTGGTAAACAACATGAGTAAATAAATTTAGAATTTTTGGGTCAGCTATCAATTTAACTTTATCTTAAAACTTCTTATTAAAAATAATATTTTAATTAAGCAATAAGGTAATAGAGGCTGTGTTATAATGCTTTATGTTGTGCATCACAAAGCCTTAACAACGCCCTACAGATCTTATGTGTCAGAGAAACAAGTGCAGCCATCTTTAGAATTTTGTCTTTGAACTTCCAATTTATTGTGGTAGTTCTATGGCATCACTGTTGAAGTGTATTAGCTGGTGAAGTGGAATTACTTATTTTAAGATATGCGATCAAATTTCTAATTTGAGGCTGTATTACGTCGATTCTGGCACCCAACATCACAACAAGATAATATTTTAAGCTCTATTTTTCTGGCGGAGGGATGCAATTTACTTAATGGGTGCGTCTTAATCAGCTCCCTAGCTCCCGAGGTCGTGAATCAGTTGGTGCATTCCAACACAATACATATACTAAAGCCAAAAATAAAAGATTATTTTAAAATAAAATCATAGGGTGCATCTCAATCAGCTCCCTAGTTCAGTAGTCAGGGCACTGATCAGGGAGTCAGCCATTTTATAAGGGCTGTCTCAATCGCAAAATCCTACCAGTGCACTGGAATGTTCGCTCCCTTAAAAATCCCACAATGCACCGCAAAAACCAGGGAACATCGGTGCTCACTATGCTCCCTTACCGGAAATTACGTAACATTTCTGAAGTGCGAAACATAAACCACACGAGCCAACTCGATAAATATAATGATATGTGAGTAAGATGACAATGTGTCATCTTACTCTGAGAACTAGGCCCACTGGAGGGAAATGTAATCGTAATCGGCGACAGGTATGTTGTCCGTTGACGTTGCACATAGTCATGTCACCGGAAATTGAGTAATTACTGTCCCAATGTGCAGTGATCCAGGGAACTTACCAGTGACCGAATTCGTGTACATGATAAAAGGTTTACCCTCCGGAGTGAGAGCTTCGAAGGGATGAAGGGTGTAGGGGTCAAAAAAACTCTTTTTTTGGAACGTACTTCTGCGTCACCTTAACGAGACGATCAAGGAGGCACCTTCGTGACACATTTTGTATGCTGGTTGACCCCCAATCGTCTTATATGTTAAATATAATCTATATTTGTGTATGTGATGTAATATGTATTTGTAATGTATATTGTGTCTGTGTATTTGAAACATTTGAATGCACTGATAAAGGTATAAAGTATTTTTGTTGAAGTACAATGTCGTTTTGACCATAATAATGTACCAAATCTAACTCGTATAAATATTAGAGTATAGAAAATACTATACATACATATATCGGTGAAGTCGAACTCTGTGACGCCAAACAACTTCCCTGTGCAAAGGATCATGGGGGCCTGAAGTGTCCATCAGTTGTACCCTTCGAAATCCTTCATTCCGAAGGGCCCATTGAAGTGGACAGTTTTGAGCACTTCGGTTTGGAACGACCCTTCAATATGGCGGCCATGATTATTTTCATTCCGAAGTGCCCTTCGGAGGGCGATATATCCCGTTTGGAATGCACTGACTGATTCACGACCTCGGGAGCTAGGGAGCTGATTAAGACGCACCCATTAAGTAAATTGCATCCCTCCGCCAGAAAAATAGTTCCTGACAGCGCGAGTTCGGCTGTAAAAATCTCCAATAAACAGTATAACTGAAATACAGTACCATACCTGAAAAAGAAAACGTTTAAATAATAATCAGTGTGCACTTAGGAAACTATCAGCTTCCACACACGCACACGTTCCCCCTCCTGCATGAGGGGGAAGGGCGTGGTCTCAAAATGAATGAATGACGCAAACATAAATACATTATCACGCATACTTTTAAATACATTAATTTTATTTTACTTTATTTTTTATTTTATTTATTTTTTTATTTTGGTAAAATACATAAGTTGTTTTGACAGAATGGATTGTTTATTTTGCTAAGGGTGTTGCGCAGTGATACATCAATGTGTTCATCGAGGCGGTCATAGCCATAGATATGTATACATATCTATGGTCATAGCCGTGCTCTCGTAAATAAAATGTTATTAAATGCATGGGTTGGTACATATTGGTATAATTTACTGTGAAACATCTAGCTGTTCAACTTTGAATTATTAGTATTCTACATATAACTATGACTCTCTTTGTCCCTGCTGTGCAGGAGCCTAGGACAGTGACATGCTTTCACAGACAGCATAAGAAGATGAAGGCAGCAGATTGATTTGATCATCAGCTTCTTTATTTCTGATCTTTATCATTAATCAGATCACATTATCTTTCCTAATGATGTATTTTTCATCAATTCATTAAAGCAATCCTTCTTCAAATGCACTTCTTTGTTGAAGCACATTGATTACAGTGAAATACAGTATGTATTTTTATTTTGCTTTAATTGAACCAAGCAAGTCGCTTATAAAGTGCAAACTTCTGCCTGTCAAGAGAATGTTGTGTTAATATGTTACTATAAATCAACACAAAACATTTTGCATTAGAAAACAATTTGATGAAATTTATTATTTTCTGTATAATAAAAGTGATTGCCTTATACCTTATAGGTATAACCTATAGATAACATTTTCGGTTGAGAATTAACTGACAGGACAAACATAACATTTCAGTACACATCGCATGAGTCAGGTTTATTGACATTCAACATCAAATCCACCAAAACATGTTATACAATACTTATCTGATAATTTAGTTCATTATGCAGACAGGCATATGAAATGTTTCAAAAGTAGCACCACAGACGCTTCCAAAAATATTACAAATAACATCTACAACATGGCACTGGTGGTAACGATGAGGAAGAGAAAATGAAAGAGAGAGAACAGTGTGCTCACACTGCCCAAAACAATCATCAACACTGCTTTACAAAACCAGTGTATACAGCCATGTGCGATGGTGCTAAGTAAAGAGAAGACCTCAGGCTACTACAGTAAATTTGGACAAAAATCCTACAGGGCACTATTTCTCACTGCTAAACAGTCAACTTACCTGTGCTATAAATTTTCATCTTCAATCACAATCTTGTTGACTTAAGTTAGGTTTAAATAATGCAGCTCTCTCAATCATTTGTGATCATTTTAAATTAGAAAAAAAATAAATAATAAAATGCGGCAATGTCATTATACTACATTTAAATCCAAAGTGTAAGAATAGCCATTACATTTACTGTCACTCACGTCACTGAATTTGAAATGTGAAAAATAAAAATAATACAAAATTTTAAGTGTCAACTTTCAGAAAATAACTGTAGGCACTGATTACTGAACTCTGGCACTTATACAAAAGAGTTGAGGCAAAATCTGAACATTTGATGAAATTCTCAAGATCTCGAACTGGAATAATCTGGGATGATAGTTTTTGATGTGAGGACACCAATAGCATCAACATTTCTAACCTTTTCAAAGAACAAAAAATGTACACTCTGAATGTGGATAACTGACTTCAGCCAAAGTCCCTTTAGGGCAAGTAATTTCACTTGGCGGCCATCTTTAAAACGCCTCTCGGGCATGCAAGTGCAGCTCCTATCTCTTTGAATGGGGAAACTTCAAATTCTCCAAAACTGTTCGCTAAGCTTACGATTCAATTTCATATTTGAAATCACCAATGAAATCTGACAACAACCGTCTCATAAATGTTGTTTCTTATGCTCAAATAGCGTTAAAAAAAAGCTTATTTTTCAGGCTAGATGAGCCAATGCGCATGCGCAGTCCTAAGCGCACGTCTCAGAATGCTGAGTTTTTGATGTGAGGACACCAATAGCATCAACATTTCTAACCTTTTCAAAGAACAAAAAATGTACACTCTGAATGTGGATAACTGACTTCAGCCAAAGTCCCTTTAGGGCAAGTAATTTCACTTGGCGGCCATCTTTAAAACGCCTCTCGGGCATGCAAGTGCAGCTCCTATCTCTTTGAATGGGGAAACTTCAAATTCTCCAAAACTGTTCGCTAAGCTTACGATTCAATTTCATATTTGAAATCACCAATGAAATCTGACAACAACCGTCTCATAAATGTTGTTTCTTATGCTCAAATAGCGTTAAAAAAAGCTTATTTTTCAGGCTAGATGAGCCAATGCGCATGCGCAGTCCTAAGCGCATGTCTCAGAATGCTGACTGTTTCTATAGCAACTGGGACTTCAAACGGCAGCTGCAGGGATGCGACGACTTTACCGATTAGCTCTTTTACTCAGGAGGTGGGCCTTCCTTCAATAAAGCGGCCATATTGAGCGTTGCATTTTTTCCCCATTCAAAACTATACGAGTGACACGTCTTGGGTATTCTATAGTCTTTGCTTCAGCATAACATACTGATAACAGTTCAAATACAATAATCACAAAGCAGGGATTTTGTCTTTGGAATGTTCCAGATACTAGAATTGTATTATTATGTAAAACAGGGCAAAGAAGAGGACATCAATACCCATGTGTCCTTATTTGTGCTGGCCTCTTGCAAAGTGACAGGCAAAATCATAGCTGTTTCTGCACCTGTGTCCGCATATGTTACACTGGAAAGGGTTCTCGTAACCATGGCAACCCATGTGGATGGTGTAGAGGATGTTGTCAGGGAAATATATGTGACAGTGGAGGCAGTGGTGGAGCATCTGGGGGTCCTGTACCGGGGTGGGCGTCCCTGGCTGGCTGTTGGTACCACTGGGAGTGCTGGTTCTCTCGCTGCAGGGTCCAACTTCTGGGCTATAGCCGCTGTGCGCAGCCGGTCTGGGCTCGGGGGTGATGGGAGAAGAAGCTTGAGCCGCGCTGACAGAAACGGCAGCAGGCGCCGTCACAGGCTGTTGGATGAGGAATGTGGGTTTTTCGTCTGGTAGAGATTCTGCTCCGGGAGACACTGGTGCACCTTGGGCTTCCGGTGGAATGCTGGCAAGCTGACCGGCCAAAGTCGAAAGCTGGTTCAGCGGGTTGTCCAATGCCATGTCTTGCTCCTCTCTGGAGCCACTTCCAATTACTCCACTTTGTGCATCCTTTCCTAGACCATTATAGGCCTCCTGATGGAGGTGGGCGTGAGGAGGGAGATCATGAGAGAAGTCACCCAAGTGGTGCTGCTCTGAGCTGGGCTTTTGCAACACCATGGATGGTGGGCTGAGGTTGATGAGCAGCCGGCGGCCATAACCAAGTGAGTTTCCTCTCTTCTGCAAAACACTGAGCATCTTTCGGTGAGAGAGAGCGGAGCGTGCGCCCTTCATGGGGAGGAGTTTGTGTCTTCGCCGCCGGTGATGAGAAAGGTTACTGCGATCGCTGCAGCGGAAGGAGCAGAGCTCACACTTGTAAGGCTTCTCACCTGTGTGAGAACGCATGTGTGCCTCCAGGTGGCGTTCGTACGCTGAGGCAAAAGGACACAGGTGACATCTATGGGGTTTTTCACCTGGAGGAGGAGATGGAGAACAACTTATGATCTTGGTAAGCTGAAGAAAAGCACAAAGAGTATAAATACGATTTAAGATCAGTTTTCAGTCTTACCTGTGTGGATGCGAATGTGTTCAATCAGCCGTGCAGTGCCTCTGGTGGCGTAGTTGCAATAGCGGCACTTGAGTTTACCATCATATGTTCTCTCAAAGCCATCCACCACCATCCCTGAACTATCTTCTAAGGATATGTCCACTGCTGGGTGCTCCAGGCCATTCTGACCAAGTTCTGTAAGGTAAAATAAATAAATAAATAAACAAACAGAAAATAACTAATATTAAGATATGGTACACCTCAAGATATGGCACTGTTCTACTAGTTTTGCATTCAGCACACTTAAATCAGCAGGCACTTTTCATTAATATGGTACACTTTTTTTTAACAGTTAGAGGTATAAATCCCATGTTGTGAAAACTAATATATGTTAAACTATTATGTAATAAATAATAAGAAGTTATTATCCAATAAAAATTATTTAACATATATTAAATATATTATTTAACTTATAGATTTGGTCTCAAACTACCCAGCACCTACTGACTATCAGCTTTTTAGAATTTAGAAATAAAAAAACCTGTTACCCATTCTGGCATAGTTTTCATTTGATTTTCGATTTGATTTTGAGCAAATAGGAAAAAATTTGATATGGAGATATTTATAAAGACTGCATACATTTATAAAAACTTGCTTTACTACTAAATCATAAAAAGCAGAAATGCATCCAGACACATTTTGTACATTTTTAGACAAGTCTAAAACAACATGCAGGAAGGTTCTCTAAGCAATACCTCCTTGGAGATCATCACTGTCTTTCACTCCGATGACAGAGCCAGATATCATGTTGACATGTTGGGTCTGCTGACTCAGGTACTCCTGAAAGTCCTTCACAAAATCCAGTGGTTCTGGCTTCTCCTCGCCCATTGAAAGATCTACACCGTCGTCCTCTGCTGTCTTAAACGTGATCAAACAGGCTGTAAATAAGATCCAAACAGAATATCATATAAAAGCAAATGAAAGACAACTTACATAATAAATGCTTGTAGCATCAAACAGCAGCGAAATAAAACTTTACAAGCAATCCTTAAAGTGTGAATCCAGTCGATTCTTCTACAATAACATGCATCCACAGGCCAAAGGGTACCGTAGAACTTGTGACGGTTGTAACACTAATCAGTTGTATTAGTCTGGCTGTTATCCAGTTGACAAGGTAACAAGCGTTGCTAAGATAGCGAGTGAACGTCGAGGTTGCTAAACATCCCCAAACATTGCGCTATCATTAAAACAACGGATAACAACAGTTACCTTTTCAAGGGCGTCAGAGAATTCAAAACCACACTCGGTTGTTCTGACTGACGACCCGTTCTTTAACGAGATATTAGAGAAATCTGACTGGAAAAAGCTCCATGTTGATGCTGGGCAGCTAACGTCAGCGAGTTAGCACGACTGGTTCTGTTAAATATAGATTTTAAACGAGCTTTACATTTGACCGACAGTTGGATCGACGTATTTGAAACATACTCCGTGTGTCATTTAGGACTGTGTTATTGGTAAGCGGAGAGTAAAAACCCAAGTTCGGTGGGTGAAAATAATGTTCTGCGACATCAAAACAAAAGAAAACGCAGGGGTGAAAGTTCAACCAGACGGTACGCCGCTGAAATGATTCCGACTTTGTTGCGATAGTTGAACATTTAGTTCCTGTATGTCGCTGTGAGGGTACAGGATCTGCAGAGCAACCCAGACTTTTAAAATTCATGTATCTTAACACAGTATCCTAATATAAGCGAATATAGGAGTGAACTATACATAATTTCCATATTTTGATTTGGGATTTGAGATGTTGTCTTTTTGCCGTGTCTTATATGTAGGCTACAATTGTTAAAGTTGTCAAATCAAATAATGTTTTCTTTGGAATATTGTTTTAATTGGCACTCATTTTAAAAGCTTCTCCGATGCTCTAAAGATTTCATTCCATCCTGTTAGTCTTTTGTAATATTTCTTTATTTGAAATAACAAAAGCCATGTTCCTAATGATGTAATCCTTCAGAAAACAACAACACAAATATATGTAGGCCTAAGTATTTACAATAGAGTTTAACTTGATGTTTTGTGGTTTTAATTTGTTTGTGTCACAATTCTGTAAAGTTTGATAAAATTACAGAAATCATCGTGAAATAAACATTTCAAACGATGATTAAACATATTAAATCATCTTTTGAAATTTTCACATTTTCAAATCTCTCACTCTTAGTCCCCACTCAGCGATGACTAACTAGCTCTGTAATTCCATCCTGTTGATTTTCTTGTCATTGCATAAATAATTGAGTTAAAATTAAAAGCATATTTCTGAAAGACTTGCGTATCATTTTAAATTGTTTCTTAAATTACAACTTAGTCATATTCATTGACATTCGGTACTGCATAACAGCAATGATCCCATTATTATTATTATTATTATTTAAATCTTTTAGTATTCTGCATTGATAATTCATCGCCTTTTACCAGATTAGCTAAATACATGGATAATTTCCATATTCAAATGTCATGAGCAATTTGATGAGTACTTGAGCCAGTTGCATTACTTTAAATAGCAGGATTGGCTCATTTATGTTTCATAGCGTTTAATATTTAACTAGAGGGGAAGTTAGCTGAAGATCGCATTGCCCCATTTGTGTCAGGGTTGTAGGAAAACCATTGAAGAGGGTGTGACAAATGACCAGTTAGAGCGAGAGCTTTGGATCCTTATGACACTCTTCAGAGTTGTAATGAGAGGGTTCTAGTATAACACTCAGCAATTCATTGCCTGTGTTCATGGTTCAGATAACCAGAGAGCAACATACCAGGCTATCGTGGGTTAAAATGTTAACAAACAGTCGATTCATAGCCTTATTGCAGAGTTAGACATTTACCCCTACAATAAAATTAATTGTTATCAAGAAAGATCAGATTTTACCATTACAGTATCTGACATATTGTTTATGTTTATGTATTATTCCACACCAGCCCTAAAATTTCATTTCAGAGTTCTCTTGAAATTTAAGATTACTGACTCATAAATGACACTGCATTTGTGTTGTGATCTCAAACAGACAATTCTTCTTACCAAACATATATAATTGCTTCGAGTGTCTAGTCCTGGGCTGAACCAGCTTCATTTCACAGTTAGAACACTAGATGGCGCAGGATGACTAGTTGTGATGAACATGTAGCGAAATAAGATAGGCCTGTATGGCCTACCTTAAGAATTTTTAATATCAAAATTTACTTTCACTCTTTTGCGTTGCATTATGCACAAAACAGAATAAGAGTGTTCCGTGTCAGTATTTAGTTTGTTGCATATGAATGAGCAAAGAACTCTTTGTGAGGATGCATCCCATTGATTCAAAGTGCGCTATTACATTAGCATTATTGAATGGGAATTCTAAATGAAGTCAAACAGTTACTATCAGGTGCAGTATTTACAGTTTGTGGGATTTCCAGTGAAAAGAGGTGTAAACTGATCCAAAGGCAGGCATGACAGCCCGACCTTGTGGGGTTGAACTACGACCCCTGAAGCAGTCAATTACAACACTTCCTAATGGCCTGTCCACACTAATGTTATTTTATAGCAATTTAATTATGCTCAGGTTTCCCGTGAAGCCACTTCCCCTTGAATAATTCAAGCAGAGTGACAGTAATTTGTCAGTTGAAAAAGATTAATTGGGGTTTCAAGTAGGCTTCTTTTCATGAAGCGTTATTGTTTTCAAAGCTGGGGTGCAACAGTACATGCGAAAAATAGTTGCATAAATAACAGATAAACAAGACTGTACGTTTTTTAAGTATCAAGAAAAGTTATTATATGACTACAAATGCCAATATGATCATTCATTCATTCATTCATTCATTCATAATTTCTTTCTTTCTTTCTTTCTCTTTTCTATAATTTATATATTTACTTCCAATTTTATTGCTCTATCTATCTATCTATCTATCTATCGATCTATCTATCTATCTATCTATCTCTCTCTCTCTGTCTGTCTGTCTATCCAAAGGTTGCAATATGACTAAAAATATCTGACATTTCTCTTTCTTTCTTTTCTATAATAATTTCTATCTATCTATCTATCTATCTATCTATCTATCTATCTGTCTGTCTGTCTGTCTGTCTGTCAAATGCCTGACATCTGATATTTTTCTTTCTTTCTTTCCCAAATATTTGATCATAGCATGATATGCATTCAAACTCCACGCAGCACAGACGTCATGACATGACGTCATTCGGTCACAAATGAGTATCAGTTCATTTTGTTTATCCGGCTTATAGTTTCCTCCCTTCTCACTCTCCATTTTAATTTAGCATCTGCAGAGTGTCTGAAGCTGCTCCGTCTACACCTGCTCGGGGGTAGGTCAGACCAAGTTCCCCCGCTGCCCTAATTCACATTTAAAAGACTCTGAATGAGCGGGCCCCCTTCTCTCCTCCAAAGCGCTTGATTTATGTGCTGTTTGTGGTTTTATAGAACGCGTAACAATTCATTTTCTCCTGAAAAGGAATTGGGTATTAATTTGGAGAAGGCCCCTGAGCACTTTTTTAAGACTCCAATCATATGCTGGAGTCATTTAAAGGCTGCCGTGGACATTAGCCCCCGAAGAAAGGCTTTTAATCCTGCCTGAAGAGCGCAGCTATAGAAACGGCTGCCCCAACGCCAAATCATTACTGCTAAAGGGTGAAGGAGGACCACGGCTGGATTTATTCTTCACGCCCCCAAGACTATTTCTTTCTGGAGAGACCCTATCTTACACCCCCCACCCTTTGTGCGACATGGGGCGTGTGTAGAAGCAGAGAAAGGAAAAGAAATAGGATAAAGGAAGTACATATTAAGCTTTTCATTTTCCTGCCACTTAATTTCCTCGCGGCCGCCTGTGTAATGAATGTAATTGCTACCTTTGATGAGAACACTATTATCTGAATCACACTTTAAATGGGAAAACAAGGCCCCCCTCCATCCTCCCACCCCCTCCTCACAAAGCGGGTATGAGATCTCTAATTATGCGACAGAACAAGTGGTTTTTCTCAAAGCCGTGGCGTTGCGCTCGATTGCCAAAGAGCAGCCCTGGTTACATTTGCACAAAGGCGCAGATTAGCGGCGATACGCGCGCCACACACACAAAGCGGGGCGTTTTTATCATTAATTTCCTGCGTGAACCAATGAATGTCTCCGTACAGGAAATTCTCATTTAGGCGAATGCCAGATCTCATTTTCTAAAAATCTGGTCCAATCTGATTGGAATATGCACCAAAATCAAATCAGTACGTATAGGGCATAATAGGAATAAAGGGAATGCCAGCAAAGCAAAGAGTAGAGTAAACTTTATTTAGGAAAATACAGACAAACAGACTAACAAATTAGCTATATAGGCTATGGAGTTTCATTATAAATATATATATAGATATATTAATATATAGCCAATATATTAATTTAAATAACACAGTAGAAAGTCTAGGCCTAATGCCTATATATCCTGAAAGCAATAATTTTACCTCCTCCTTGTATATGTGCTGCTTGGATCAGGTTCTGACTTTAGTATGACACGCCGATCCTCAAACAGACAGTTCAGTTATTCATAAGGATTTATCTTTGCACATCTCTCGGCGCGCACGAGGTGAATAGCTGTTTAATAAAAGTGTCGGGCTCGTCCTACAGATGACGTGACTTTACGAGGCGACGCACGATAAAACCGCTGTCACCTTATGAAGTCTGAACGCGCGCGCATCCCCCCCAATAATCGGTCATTAAAGCATCGCCGGACGTCACAGGTGACAGCACGCGAGCTCTTTAGCCGCGCTGAGATGCAAAAAACTATAAAGCAACGTCACAAATAACGAATTACACAATTATTCTTAAATATATGCAATATGCAAAGCCATTTGGCACCTTAAACGTGAGTTACTAGTCTTCAAAGCAAGCTATACTTAAATGATAAAGTGATAATCAATTCCTTTGACTATGATGCCTCGCTTGGAGCCTGGGGGGAAAAACTACTGATCACTTCTATTGGTCTGCAAATGATGGTACTTACAGAATGACAGATGGCTGGCAGGAGCGCTGTGTGACTTCAGAAAGGTTTATAATGTCTGAAACAGGCTGCCATTCGGGCCCAGTCAGGCAACAGAGGAATGGGCCAATATTTCTGAGTGAAGTGGCATTTTAGCTGTATTTATCTGAGGATCTCTACACCAAAACCATAGGCACTAATAAAGAAGATGCTGTAATAGCTTTTGACTGGGTCCAGTCGCTCTGGATGGGGAATGAACTGTCCTTTGCTGAATTATTGTGGCCAAATGCCATTTGTACAGCCTGAAAAGTGGGGACATTTATCCTGACTGTCAGTGCTTGGCCATAGCTCATAGTCCTGAATGATATCTCCCAACACACAGTTGCCCCAATACTCGCATTTCATACTCGGCACTGAGAGGGGAACTAATGGATGGCACTGTCTGAAGGCAGATAATTTAGAGCATCTTCTGTCAAATCTTTAAAACACACGGCTCTACACAAGCCAGCGGACACAGTGGAGTGCATCCAGCGACCCCACCCCTGTGCCTCCCTGCCACACTGGGCCACTGAACCAGGGAGATTCATTTGAAATGGCTTTTGAATTCTCAAAAAGCAGG